AAAGGAAGGCGGTGGTTGTGGACGAAAACAGTAGTAGATCGTTTATGGACAAAATTCGATGGTAGTGGACAATAAACAGTAACTATACCATCAATCTTAAACAGGGGTATAACAGTTATTTCACATCAAGTGAATAGTGAATTGTAGCAGATTTTCGAGGGTCAAAGAAGAAATGGCATTTGTCGAAGATTTGAAACGAGAAACGGCATTTTTGGTAAAAATCCATTTTTATTAACGGTATTTGAATAGGACTTTATGATAAAAATGGATTAATGTATGTTGCGCCAATCACGGGTTAACAAATAACGAACTTTCCTCAGGCGCGTGGAGTGGTCACGAGATTACTGTTGAGCCTTAATGGGCTTTAATGACTCAGACTTTATGTATTTCTTAACGTGGAGTAAGGCCCAAACTAAGACTTTTCAATCCATATTTTACCAAGACAGGCCTAATTACTCTCAGCTACTTCGTCCAATAGAAGGTAAGAAAAATTACGAGTCAAAAGTAAACATGTGTAGCTTCAAAATGCTCGTTTGATGGTTTTCCAAAAACTCTTCAATGTTCGAGTTTATCTAACTTGGAAGGAAACTTAAACAAATATGAAAACATTAACAATGAGTACGAGATTTGTGACCTTATTTGTTTTGTTAATGAACTTTTTCTGATGAAGAGAGATCAATGTTGTTGGTTTTTTTTTTTCAAACGGAATAGAGTTCGTGTTTTGTGAGAGATAAATCATGTGTAAAATATGATTTTTCCAAATGAAAAGGATGTCGGATTTGCGGATCCAAGATACTTATATATTTTTGTCGTTTGTAAATATAAAAAGGATATTTCAGGATGTCGAATTTGTGGATTCGAGACATTTGTATATTTTTGTCGTTTTTAAACGTAAAACGGATATCTCCAAATGAAGAGGATGTCGGGTGTACGAATCTAAGACATTTGTATATTTTTGTCGTTTATGAAGTAAAATGGATATTTTTAAATAAAGAGGATGTCGAGTTTGCGGATCAGAGACACTTGTGTATTTTTGTCGTGTTAATGTGAAACGGATATTTCCAAGTGAAAAGGATGTCAGACTTACGAATCCAATAGACTTGTATATTTTTGTCGTTTATAAAGTGAAAGGGATATTTCTAAATGGAAAAGATGTCGGTTTCGCGGATCCAAGACACTTTTTATATTTTTGTCATTTATAAACATGAAACGGATATTTCCAAATGAAGAGGATGTCGGGTTTACGAATCTAAGACAGTTGTATATTTTTGTCGTTTATAAACATGAAATGGATATTTCCAAGTGAAGAGGATGTCGAGTGTATGAATCTAAGACACTTATATACTTTTGTTGTATATAAACTAAAATAGATATTTTTAAATGAAGAGGATGTCGGGGTTTGCGGATCGGAGACATTTGTATATTTTTGTCATTTGTTAATGCGAAACGGATATTTCCAAGTGAAGAGAATGCCAGACTTACGAATCTAAAAAACTTGTATATTTTTTGTCGTTTATAAAGTAAAAAAGAGATTTCCAAATAAAAAATATGTTGGTTTTGCTGATCCGAGACACTTTAATATTTTTGTTATTTGTAAACATGAAACGGATATTTTCAAGTGAAGAGGAAGTCGAATTTACAAATCTCATATACTTGTATGTATTTTGTCGTTTGTAACCGTAAAACGAATATTTCTAAGATCGTTTTCGTTTAATTTATGTCTTTTTATCTTATCGATCATAAGTTGATTTTATCCCTAATCAGTTTAGTTTTTTAAGCATATATTAAAAAAAATTACATTGTAGTTTTAAAAATGGTGATTATTCGAGAATTTTAGTGATCTACAAAACTAGTCTACATATTTTGGCAATTAATATTTTGTTTTGTCCGTTGCATAACTTTTTCTACGTGTATAATTGTCCACTAAAAAGGATTGTAACCGATAATTAAGTGCTAAAACTCTTTTTCTTTTAGGTGGTTGGGGGGATACGTGGAGATTTGTCCTTTATCTAAACATAGTTAAACACTGTAATTAACAACTCTCTCTTAGCAATTTATTATATATAGTAATTTAAAATTGAACTTGGCCGTGCAACCCATCAATAGAGATTTTCTTTGATTATTATAGGCTATGACAACAACTTCAAAGATAATATACCAGCTTAAAACAAGAATTCTCTAATTTGCTAACCAAAAGTATACTGAAAATTTTAATTAAATGCATATAAGAACATAAACGATTTTAGTATGCAATAAGGCAATCAGCTAAATTATATATATTGACCGACTAAATTTGTATACGTAAATGGATTTAAGAAAAAGCTATGGGTAAATAAATCCAAACACGTTAGTGAGTCAGAAATATTTTATATAGAAGTATGTTAAGTAATGGTCAATGACTCAATGGCCATGCTCCATAATAAATTAAGTCGAGTGAATTATTTATTGAATAAAAGAAATAAGGTCTTTTAATCTTCTTAATTGAGAATTAACTCTCTCTTGTTTTTCATGCCAAAATCTTCTATACATTTGAATTCATGCCATAGAAAGAGGATTTTAAGTTATAAAAACTAGTCAAAATCCAAAGAGAGTCAATAGTCAACACATATAAACAAGAGTTGACTTGGACTGTCCTAACCCACAGAGAGAGACATTTTTTTCCTTCCTTGTCATTAAACATTATTTTTGTAATTTAATCCATAACTATTAGCGTTTTTTCGTCAAATTACCCCATTATTAAAAA